AATTGCTTCTTGTGTAGTCCCTTCGTTAGCACATCAGCTAATTGTTCACCTGTTGAAAGGTAGGTCATACAGATTATGCCAGCATTGATTTTCTCCTTGATCATGATGCTACCAATTCTCTGTTTCATTCCTGTCCCTTTGGATAGAATGGTTTTGGCACCTACTGACCAAATAGGATCTGCATCTTCGGGAACAAGTGCAGGAGTTTTTGCTCTCTGCAATGAGACAAAACAGAAAAGGTTTAAGGCGGCAACATCTTGTATGAAAGAGATGCAACTCTAAGCTCCAGAGTGTATACATCCTTAAAAAAACCACAAAGTTTAATGAGTATCAATCTAAGAAGCATAGACACTTCTAAGAACGTAATGTGCCGTGTCCGACACTCATCGAATACCTATGTAGCACTAGTGTGAGTATGGATACTGGTACGAGTACGCTAATACGGCAAAACCTTTCCAAAAAAAAAAGGATATGGGTATGGTTGGGGTACGGTTGTGGTATGTCAATAAATTTTTTATTTTTCATAGTTTATTATTTGAGATTCAATCTACAAATCAAAGTTCAATACCAAAATTAAAACGAAAATTACAAAACCAAAAGAGAATTCCCAGTTCAACAATACCAATATCAAAGCAAAGTCCTATTGCTATTTTAATGCCATTAAATAGGAAAAATTACAAAAACTAAGTTTCATTCCCAAAGCAAACTAGAAAAATTTGGAAAGTTGAAAAATCAATTCTCACTTACATCAACGTCATTATTGAACAATACATCTTTCATCTTTGACACAGCAAGTAAAAGATTTGCAATTTCAAGTAAATCATAAATCTCTAATAAATTAAATGTATCACTATCAATGTCCCATAGCTTGGTGTACCCCCGATGCACCCATCATGTACCTACGAAGTACCCACCTGCTAAAAAATGTATAAAAACTACCCGGTACGTATTTCATGTACCCGATACGCGTGCAACCCTAATGGTACGCGTACCAGTACCCGTTATGAGTATGGCAATATTTTCGGAGTACCCGTGCTTCATAGCTGGACACTTTCCAACACTTATACATGAAACATATTACGAGTTTGAATAAATAACTTGGAATCCAATGATACAACAAAAATTAAGTAAATTTATACCTATTCTCCTCCTTTATACTTCAAAAATGAATATATTTTACTTAAATATTTATATATAAGACATAATAATTATTTATCCTTATATATGACATATATTTGATAAATACATGAATAAATTATATATTTTGCAGAAGTCCTCAACGTGTCGTCTCCTACATTTTTTGAAAATTTACATGTCGGTGTATCGGTGTGTCAATGTCATGTCACATGTTCGTGCTTCTTAGGTATCAATAATGGAGTGAAGGTAATTAAACCCCTCAGCAAAATGCACAAATTCATCCATTCAAGCACCAAAAGGAAGCTTAATTCTAAAAAAAGTTTGTCTATGGTAACTTACAAAAAAGGGGAGCTCCCTAGAGTCACCATCTTCAATTATTTGAGAGATCCACTTGATGATCTGCCAACCAAATAAATATAAACTCAACGTGAAAAGGTACACTAAATAAAAAAGAATGTTGCATTTGCGTTAACTGCTCAATACATAGTGAAATATATCTCAATAATTAAACCATGTAGTAAAATCCATCTCACAACAGATAGAAGGCCAAACCTCTGAACTTTCTTCGGAACCATTGTACCTCGCAACAAGTTGTGATGCAGGATCCACATCGTCATTCAGAAATGCCTCCAACATGTTTTTTGGTTTTTTTTCCTCATTTAATACTATCTTCTGTAGCATTCCTTTTGTGTGTACAATAATTAACTCTGGTATATTTGTTATATCCCTCCTAGGTCCACATGTTTCATAGCTGTTCTCTATTTGAGTGTGGAAAAAACAATATCGTTGGAGAAGAAGAGAAATTTAGTGACTAATACAGTTGCAAAAGATCATTTGTTAAATGTTTCAGCGTAGACTAGTCCATCATGACCATTATTAATTAAAATATTATAATCCATAATAGTAAGCACACATACTTCTACATAAAAAAGAAAAAAAACCTACAAATGGTTCTAGGAATAACAGTGGAGAGATGGAAAGATCATTCCTTCAACTGAATAAAGCAGAAGCAAACAACCTCTAATCATATGTACCATGCAGCTGCAATGACGTCTTACACAATTGCTATTGGAGTTTATGAATAATTTTCACCATTGCAATACATGCCTCGTATACGCAACCTGGTGAACTTTAGTTTATTTTAATTATATAACACCTTCTGTGAGAGGAATCACATTCTGTTTCCTACACTACATAGCTTGACCTACAGAATAGTATTATTTGTATAGCTG